TTGTAGACCAGGGTTGGAATTTATTCTGTGTGAGAGAGAAAGCCATTGCAGGGTTCTGGGCTGAGTGTCATAAGCTGATTTATATTTTTAAAGGATTCTTCTGGTCACTGCTTTGAGAATTGACTATTGAGGGCCAAGGATGGAAATAAGGAGACCATTAAGTAGTCATGGCAACAATCCAGTGACAGATTATAGTGATTGAACAAGGGTTCTAGCAGGTAAATATGTGAGAGGTGGTTGGATTCTGGGTAATTTTCAAGGTTGACATGACAGACTTCTGTTAATGCATATGGCAGGGGTTGTGGGGGAGAGAATCCAGAAAATTTATTTTTTGTTGGCTTGTTTTTAGACTGAGACCCTTGAAAAACAGAATTGCCATTTATTGAAATGGAGAAGGCTGGGTAGGAGTAGTTTGAGGATGAAAATCAGAATCATCATATTTAATTTGGGTATGTTTGGATGTATCTCATTCAAACATTCAAATGATGCTGTCTCAACACTTGTAACAACTCTGTGAAATAGGACTCCTCTTAGCCCCATTTTGCAGATGAGGAACAGGGAAGAAAGACATTATTTAACTTGTCTAAAATCACCCCAGGAGGATTCTGACAACAGAAAGTGACATCTTACTAAGAGTTCATCAGCCCTTCTCCTGAGATGGCACGTTCTGATCCCCATTTCTATGGATGACCTTGACCAGCTCAGGAAGAAGTCATGTCTTGAGATAGAGTCTTTTATGCAGTTGGTACCTGAAAGTCAAGTTGCTATCTCTGCCCACTTTTTCTTTTATCAGTTGTGCTAAAGCCAGCCATAATGTAAAGCCTAGAAGAAGAGGAAGATTCTTCAGCTGCAAGCGGCTTAGAAAATGATCATTTATTGAACGTCTCCATTAGAATAACCACTGATTTGAGGGTCCCACAGACCTGAAAAACACAGCTGCCATCACTCACTAGACACAGTATCCTGAGGCCAAAACTTAACTTTTCTGAGTCTTTGTTGGCTAAATAATGTGAGACATTTTCTCTATGATATGTCTAGATGTCCCAGTGGCTTCTTCACCCCAAGGGTCAGGTTTGTATCTGATCAGCCCAGTGAGGAGGTCCACTCTCCGCTGCTTTAGCACCTATAGAATCTGTATAGTTCTGCCACATTTTTGTTTATTGTCTAGTCCTCACTTTAGAAGGTAAGTTTTCTGAGGGCAGGAGCTTGTCCATTCCTCTTATTGTTCAGGACAGTGCCTGGCACAGAGCAGATGCTCAGTGAATATCTTTCGAATGGAGAAATGAATAGTCCTCACATTAATTACCCCTTGGAGGTTGCCTCTATTTTTATCCTTATTTTACAGATGTGGGAACTGGGGCTTAGAGAAATGGAGCCATGAACTGGGAGCCAACCAGCAGCAGGAGGCAGCACCTAGTCACATGGTAACAAAGTGGTTGTGAAGTCTGGACAGCCCACCACTGAGTATACTAGCGGTAGCAGAGTCTAATAATTAAGTCTTCTTGAATTTGATACCCAGCTCTTCTGTCTGCCCTCCCTGGCTCAGAGGTCCATCTGTAAGTGGGAGTTGATACTAGTAATACACCCACATCATAGAGTTTCTGTGAGGATGAAATGAATTAATACAAATACAGTGCTTAGAATAGTGTAGCAAGTACTATCATAAATATTAGATAATAGTAATGTATTTTGTTCTTGAACTTGTGACATATATATACTTTACTCCCATCTTCCCCTTCCACCACAGTGTAAATATTTTGCATTTTCCAAGTGTATCCAAACCTTAGCAAGGTATTTGTTTACACATATATTTAGCTAATTTGTGTGCCTCTGTGTGTGTGTGTGTGTTAAATTACCTATTATGTAAATGGTTTGGTTTAGTAAGCAGAATATGCTGGGATACGGTTTAGTGGAAAATTGTTTTGTGCAACTTGGAAAACAGAAGAATCATAAAAGAATCCTCCAGAGAGACGGTCTGATGAAGGTGTAGCCAATACATTTGCGAGTTTTTATTTTTAAGTAATAACCAGCCACTAATGCAGTAATGGCTCAGAGCAGAACATTGATTTATCCACAGCGAAGTGGGTTGTGTTTCCCCGCTACGCTGCCAGCTGTCGTTTCTTGATATTAAGCTGCGTTGCTTCAATCCAATATCTGTCAATCCAGCTTTCAAAGAGGAAGCTTTGCACAGTGTGGAGGCTTTGTTATTTTCGTGGATGGGTAATGGAAGTATTTTTGTGCCTTGTTTGGTAGGAGCCATTCACTCTTTAGCTGAGCTAGAATCTAGTTTGTTATGATGCTCCGTGAAGTCAAATTCCTTAGCAAAATGGTAAGGCTCTCAAATTCTTTCTGAGAAGGCTCTTGGAGTTGGTCCTTGTTCAGGTGCTGTCCGATGCCTCAGGCAGAACTCTCCTTTGATCTATGTAAATCTCCTTCTTGTCTGGAAATACTGTTCTCTGTGCAGACGGGGAACAGTATTATTCTGTGCAAGTAGATCATAGTGGAACAAATCCCTGAGGAAACTTTTATAAAAAGTGTCTAAAAAGTCAAAACAAAATCGGGGCACCTGTGTGGCTCAGTGGGTTAAGCATGCAACTCTTGATCTCCGCTCAGGTCATCATCTCGCGGTTTGTGGGTTTGAGCCCCGTGTCGGGCTCTGGCTTGCAGTTCTCTCTCTCCCTCTGTCTCAGCCTCTCTCTCTCTTTCTCTCTCAGAATAAATAAGTCAATAAATAAACATGTATAAAAAATTTAAAAAGGCAAAATATAATCTTACTGTTGAGGTTTCCCCAATCTCTTCTTTTCCAAAAAAATTTAAAAAAATAAAAACAAGACCAAAAAACTTAGCTTAATATGCAGATATCAAAAGAGATCATCAGTTGAGCCTAAGTGGAAAATTCTTCCATTCATTCATTCACTTATTCATTCAGCATGATTTATTGTGGGCTCACTGTATTTTGCTAGGTGGCAGAGAGGTGAGGTGGGTACAGTACAATTATTAGCAAGATGTACAATAATTAGCAATTATTAGCACTTTCTTTCCTTATTTTCTTTATGAAAGCAGAGATTTCAAAGAAGATGTCCCTAAAGAAGCCTCATGTCTCGGTTTAATAAACTCACATTAGGGGCCCTGAGGTGGCTCAGTTAAGCCACCGACTTTGGTTCAGGTCATGACCTCATGGTCCGTGGGTTCGGGCCCTGCATCGGGCTCTGTGCTGACAGCCGGAGCCTGGAGCCTGCATTGTATTCTGGGTCTCTCTCTCTCTGACTCTCCCCTGCTCATGCTCTCTGTCTCTCTCTCAAAAATAAATAAGCATAAAAAAAATTTTTTTAAGTGAACAACAACAACAAAAAAAAACAAATTCACACTAAATACTTGCTGTGTATAAGTAAGTATACAGGCACCAAGAGTATATGAATGGGATCTTGTACAGATTCAAAGCTATCCTCCAAGGGGTTCCTAATCTGTGGTGGGCAGAATTTTAAGATATCCCCTTCCCCAGATATCCAACCCTAATCCCCAGGAGTGTAAATGCGATGAGATATTGTACTCATGATTACATTACATTTCCTGCCTGGCAAAAGGGATTTTTTAGGTGTAGTTAAGGTTTCTAATCAGTTGACTTTAAGTTAATCAAAATAATGACTGTTTCTGGCAGACCTAATCTAATCACTGTAGAAGCAGAGTTTTCTGGGGCACTTGGGTGGCTCAGCCAGTTAAGCAACCACTTCAGCTCAGGTCATGATCTCATGGGTCATGAGTTCAAGCCCCACATCAGGCTGTGTGCTGACAGCTCAGAGCCTGGAGCCTGTTTTAGATTCTGTATCTCCCTCTCTCTCCGCCCCCCCCCCCCCCCCCCCCCCCGCTTGTGCTCTGTCTCTATCTCTCCCTCAAAAATAAAATAAACATTTAAAAATATTTTTAAAGCAGAGTTTTCTTTGGGGCACATGGGTGGCTCAGTCAGTTAAGTGTCAGACTCTTGGTCTCAGCTCAGGTCATGATCTCATGGTTCGTGGGTTCCAGCCCTGTCAGGCAATGCACTGACAGCACGGAGCCCGTTTGGGATTCTCTCTCTCCCTCTCTCTCTCTGCCCCTTCCCCACTTAAGCTCTATCTCTTTCTCTCTCAAAGTAAATAAATAAACATTAAAAAAAAAAGAGTTTTTATGGGGCACCTGGGTGGCCTAGGCGGTTAAACGTCCAACTTAGGCTCAGGTCATGATATCACAGTTCGTGAGTTCAAGCCCCACGTCGGGTTCTGTACTGACAGCTCAGAGCCTGGAGCCTGCTTCAGATGCTGTGTCTCCCTCTCTCTGCCCCTTCCCCGCTCATGCTCTGTCTCTATCTCTCAAAAATGAATAAACGTTAAAAAAATTAAAAACAATAAAAAGCATTTAAAAAAAGAGTTTTATCTCACTGGCTGTAGAACAGGAGGTCAGAGGGAGAGAATATGATGCAAGGAAGGCTGTTGAGATGGAGGAGGCCACAGGGCAAGGTCCTAAGAGCAGCCTCAAGATGCTGAGTGTGGTATCTTACCGATAGTAAGCAAGAAAATAGGGACTTCAGTCCTATAACCCAAGGAATTGAACTTGAGCAACCACATGAATGAGCTCTGGAGCTGTTCTTCCTAAGAGTTACCAGATAAGAACCCAATCCAATTGTCACCTTTGACTTCAAATTTGTGAGGCCCCAAGCAAAAACCCAGGTGAGCCTGCCTGGACTTCAGACCTCCAGTACTGTAATATTATACATGGGTGTTGTGTTAAGTAGCTAAGTTTGTGCTCACTCATTACACAGCAACAACAACAAAAAAGAATATATCATTCCTGGTAATTCCGCATTTTTATAGATAGACTGTAGTTAGGATGTTTTAACACTTGAGCAGATACTGAGTGACTTGTGTAGATCTTTTATGATTGTAAATCAGATTACCTCCTTATGTTTGTACAAGCCCTTTTCCAGAATGCTTTCACATATAGTTTTCTCTCTTGATTTTTCACAGTTTGCGAAGAATCATCACCTCCCTGTTAAAGGTGAAGAAAGTGACATGGGACATGATGTGACTGGCCAACTAATCATCCTAAGTGGTAAGAATGGGCTTTGAGTCCCTGGTGCTCCCATCTTCCTTACACTTACTCATCAGATAATTGGTAGGTTACCCCACATAGGTTATTAGCCCATCTTGTTTTTCTCTTCTTCACTCCACGGTCAGCATCATTGCTGTCATTCTCCTGCTGCTTGTTCACTCAATGCTCATTAACTAAATAATGACTGTTAAAACATTTTTTTTTAAAGCCAAAACATTTATTGAGTATCTTTTATGTATCATGGCCCTTCCTGTCTAGCATGGCAAACGAAATGACAAGTGTCTTCTTGTTTATATACGTGGTATTGAGTATGGGAAATAGAGTCACCAAGAGGACATGCTTCCGTTGTGTGTGAAATATCTAAAAGGTAGAAACAGACTTCTTTTTCTAGAGCTGGCTCACAAAATAAATAAACCCAGGAATATTTTCTGTCCCTCTGTAAAATTTTGTCCAGTTTTATTGAGCTATCATTGACATGTAAAATTGCATTAGCTTAAGGTGTACAAAATAATGATTGGATATGGATCTATTGGGAAACCATTGCCACAATAAGTTTGGTTAACATTCATAGCATATATATAACAATTGTGGCATAGTTCAAATTTTTTCTTGTGATGAGAGATTATGATTTTTTATGATGAGACACTGTAACATTTTGTGATGAGAATTATAACAGTGATTTTTTTTTTCTTGTGATGAGAACTTTTGAGATCTTAGGAACTTTCTAATATGCAATGCAGTACTGTGATCTATAGTCAACATGCTCTACATTAGACCTCAGAATGTATTAGTTTCATAACTGGAAGTTTGTATATTTTCATCACCTTCACCTATTTCCTCCACTCCCCATCTGGCAATCACCAACCTGTTCTCTGTTTCTGAGTTTGGTTCGTGTGTGTGGGTGTGGGTTTGTTTGTTTTGGTTTGGTTTGGTTTTTAGATTCTGCATATAAGAGAGATCATACGGTGTTTGTCATTCTCTGACTTCTCTAAGCATGATACTCTGAAGGTCCATCTATGTTGTCCCAAACGGCAGGATTTCCTTCTCTATGGCTGAATAATGTATACCACAATATGTATATTACATTTTTCTTTATCTTTTCATCCACCAGTGGATGCTTAGGTTGTTTCCGAGTCTTGGCTATTGTGGATAATGATGCAGTGAACATGAGGGTGCAGGTATCTCTTGAAGATCATGATTTTGGGTTTTTACTGTTGCTGTTGTTAAGAAAATATTGCTGTATGATCTTGTTTTTTTTCCTCTGCAAAAAATGGTTTTTGGAGAGATATTCCTATTTCCATATATTTCTTTCAGAAAAATGGTTAGGGCAATTTAATTTGTGCTGGGGAGACTGGCATCTGGGTGTTAAGACTGACTGGAGAGACTGACTCCAGGCTGTAAGATGGGACTCCAGGCTGCCATCCTACCAGTTTCATAAACGTAAACCTTCCCAGCCCTCCTGCCACCCCAACAGCCCCTTGAGAATGGTGGGACAGTGAGCAGGGCTTGGGAAAGTCAACAAAACCTGCACACCCACTCGCACACAAGACGCCTTTGTTTCTTTGAATCAATCCAACAACCCCGGGGAGCTGTCTAATTGAGACTAACGGCCAGACTACTCTCGGCATTGGGCAGAACATCCACGACCCCAGACTACCCCAAGTGGCAGTCTCTTGTGTGTTCTCCCCTCTCTCTTGTAACGTTTTTCTTTCTTGAACGATGTGATGTGTTTGGGTGAGAAGAAATTAAAGCCCAAGAGCAAATTAGGTTTGAAATGTGGCTTAAGCAGCTATCCAGTTGTACCTGTTATCATCTAATCAAACAGTTTGGAGTTAATATAGTGGGGCCTAACCTGTCTCACAGTGTCTACTGCACTCTGCCCCTGTAACAGCTGTTGTTATGGGAATGGAATCATGGGGGAGTGGACATCCCAGCAACAAAGAACATTCCATGCTTAGATCATGCTCAAAGGATCTGTTGGCAGTCATTGGGAGGGCTTGAAGAAGACATTCTGTAACCAGGGTTGGCTCTGGAAGACCTGTTTGGGACGGGCTAATGGGCTGCAGTCTGTTGAGACTTGTCTTGAAGCCAATTTCTCATGGCTTGCCCACAGGTTTGCTTGGATTGGAGCAATATCTGGGGTAGGTGAGGCTAACTGCCCCTCATGTTCCCTGTTCAGCCATCACTTTGTAGATCATTAATGACAAGCCACTATCTCATTGCCTGTAAGTCTGAGGACGCTCTGGGTGTGCAGCTCCCACAACTTCTCTGTTGAGCCAGATGCAAGGGACACGGGGGCCAGTAACCTTCATCTTGGCTGGTTGATGAGAAAAGAAAAGCCCGGTCCACCAGAGACTCCCTGTTATAGAAGGGATCAATGACAAACAAGGAGAAAGAACCAAAGGACTCTCAGTCTCAGATATGCATGTGAGGAAGAAAAAAAAAAAGGAAAGAAAAACCCTCCAAATCAAGAAAAAAAATCCATTGTGCTTATTTCTCTTCTATCGAGAACAGATTAAAAAAAAATCAAAGTCCCATCTGTTCTGTGTCAACATTAGAGATCGTACATGTGTTTCATCAAAGGCAGGTTTGCCACGGCGGTGGGGGTTATATTTTTGGAACGTGCTTAGAAACCCAAAACCCAGAGTAACTGAACAGAACCTGGCCCTCCGGGCCCTCTCCTGCTGCCTGCATTTGTGTTCCTCCAGCAGATGATGCTTTTAATTGATTTATCTGCGCAGGAGGACCCCGGAAGAAGACAAGCAGGTGAAGGCCGCCGCCTGGGCCTCTGGAACAAAGACAGGGAAGGCAAACGGCTCCCGGCACAACAACACACTTTGCCTACACGAAGTTGTCCTCTGAATTCACAGCAGCAGCCTCACCAGCCCTGGCGAACCTCAAGGGTTCACATTTGAGGACCACGGGCTCGATCAGGCCATGAGTCACGCTGACGTAGAAATTCCATCCTGGAGCCTTTCTTTGGCCGGCTGTCGTCTCCTCCCTGGGGTCACCCTCTGCGGGTCAGCCGCTCACACAAGCAAGCTGTGCTCTAAGTGCTGGGCTTCCAGGCCAGAGGAGAAAAAGTAGACGAGGCCACCTACAATCGCTCTGCTGTTGCAGCTTTGCCTCCCTGCCCCGACCAGTTTGTCCAAAGTGGAGTCCATGCCCCTTGGGTTTCACTGAGGTTGGAGCACGTCGCTGTGTTCCGGTGAAACGCAAATAGCTGCCACCCCACTCATGCCCTCTGGCACGTGTACGTGCTGCCTCCAGGGTGGAGATGATGAGGGAGATCCTGAAAAAGAGGCCAGACTCTTCTTGAACTGGATGCGGTGGTGAAAGTCCTGAAGGAGATCTCCGTTCAAAGGAGAGGCTTTAATGACTCTTTGGGTGGCACAGACTCGGAATGAATAGGCGTCCGTGAGGAGGAGGGGTAACTGAAGGCACGCCCTTGATGAAGGTGCCCATCGCTGAGACCCCTGGTATGCAAAACTGATCCCCGAGGAGGAAGAGGGGGACCAGCTTGCATTAATTGTCCAAGGACAGAAAGAAGCCAGGAATGTGAAGCTAGGAAGATGGGCCATGAGGGACCAGGGTGGTCCAACTGAAGCCCAATGAAGGAGACGATCAAAAACGTCTCCAACAGAGGTAGCCTAGGTAGGCAGCCCAGGTTCATGGAAGCACTCCACGTGGAGAGGGATAAGGGGCAGCTGGGTTTGGCCAAGTAGTGGCTGAAACTGGACCCGGGCACCCTGGTTAAGCCTGGGGTCAAGTGGCCAGACTTGTGGTCCAACCTGGGGATTCTCTGTGCTCTGGTCGATGACCTGGGTCAACAAGGTCATGGGCCAGTCTGATGGTGGCACAGTGTGGCAGCAAGAAGTGATAGTTGGCAGACTGGATATGTGTTCTCTCTGCTCTCGCTATTTAGAAACAGAATCAACCCCCACCCCTTCCTTGCCCTTTAGATGGCGTGAATATGGCGATGGACTCCTGCAGCAATTGCTAGGGAAGGCTCAAGGTTTGGCCTTTCTGCTAATAGGCGGGATGGGTATTCTGGTGATTACTTGGAAACATGAAAGAACTATGACCATATTTGGAAGTCACGTTGTTGAAGCAGGCATATTTTATAGTTTTACCTCACACACTCTGAGCTACATAGTGGAATTTATAGCTGAATTTTAAGAGTTATTTTAAGAATAAAACGCCATCGTTAGCATTTTCTAATTGTAATCTCATGGGTTCTATCCTCCAAACATTGGAGAACGGGTCTTCTGAGATGAGTCTGGCCCCAGAGGGAGTAGGTGTGGAACGTTTGACTACATCCCTCCTTCATCAACGTTACCGTGAGGACTGGCTGAAAACCTCTAGCCGATACTGAAGAGCGTGCTGACCGCTGCCGGGCTCTGAGAGGGCTGAGAGACTCCTGCTGGAGACCTGGCATCAGAGAGCACAGTTGTCATGGCAGAGGCACCACCCAGTCTACTGAGAAGAAACCTCTAAGGGGTCCCACTTGACCCTACATTTAGTGGAAGCAGGGGGGTTTGAGGTTATATTAAATCAGGCCACCAAAATAGATGAACTTCAGGAAAGGGAAGGAAAAATATGATAAAAACAGAGAGGGAAGCAAACCATAAGAGACCCTTGAACACGGAGAACAAACTCAGGGTTGCCAGAGGTGGGGGTGGGTGCGGGGATGTCCTAAATGGGTGATGGGCATTAAGGGGGGGCCCTTGTTGGGATGAGCCCTGGGTGTTACGTGTAAGACGTGATTCACTGGGTTCTGCTCTTGAAACCAATGCTACAGAGTACGTTAACTAACTTGCGTTTAAATACATAAAGTAAAAAAGAAAGTCCGGGGAGGACTGCCAGTGGGACTGGAATGGAATGGCCCTCTTCACGGGTGGGGGGCAGAGGAGGTGGGAGGGGCCCTGGAGAGCGAAAGTGTCCTCGCTTCAGCTGGTACCTGGAGGGCTCTTGGTGCGTTCATATTGGAACAAAGGCTG